AGAGCTGAAAGTAAGTCGGTCTCCATGATTTCTTTTGTTAAACATGAGGCATTTTTCACCTTCAGACACAGCCTTTGCAAGTTAATCACTTCTGGGTGGCATTTCAAAGCACAGGAGAAACTGCTAGGTCGAAGCTGCAGAGGGTTGTTATTTCGGTGGCTGACAACAATGCCAAATCAAAATACAGAGAGAGCAGGAAAGGCTGCACTTAGCATCTCATGTATTCTTGAAATTCCCTCTGATTTTTTATTAGAGACACAGACTTCCTGCTATGAGCAACAGGAAAGCGTGAGCCCTGGTGAGATTCCTGGGTGACTGAGCTGGGCTGGTGTACAAAATGCATGTGGTACAGCACAGCTGAGGACAGACAAGACTAGCAGGCATGCCAGGTGCCATCCCTTCAAGCCTTCTAGACAAAAATAATGTCATAGATCAGTATTTCAAATGACTGTTGGCACTATTAGCATGTCAGTCCTTGTGCAGTCTTCCTGTCAGGGCTAAGCTCACAAGTAGTGTCCCTGACTTCCAGGAGAGGCCAGCAACTGTAGAACCATGCATGAAATAACCCCTGAGCAGTAGTCTCCACAGCTGAAGACTGAAGGACACAAGCAGTCATCTCAGCTAAAACCTGAACTGTTGAGTTACAGCCTTTGGATTTCCAAGCAGGAGACAATCATGAACCTCTAAGTGGCACTTTTTCTGTGCTCTTACCTTAAGTTTAAACTGATGTTTAACTTGTGGTCCACTTTCCCAGCTCTCCTTACTGGAGGGGAAATTGTTACTGCCTGCAAGTTCAGCAAAGTAGATAGATCAACATTCAATGTTTTAAAACCTTCTGATGTATTGGAGGATTCGGTTACCCCATCATACACTTCTCTAAGTCTGGTCACAGGCTGTAAGGGCTGATGTCCAGCAGGCCCTCAGGTGACAATGCAGGGCTGTTGCATGCAGCCCATGCTCAGAGAGGCAAATCCTCTTCATAGAGCAGCTCTGCTCAAGTCCCAGCAAGGGCTCTCATGAGCTGGACACACTTTGCTGTGCAGGATCCTACCTTGGAGCTGTCTAACATGGCCCACTGTGTCTACACTCAGTAAGACTAAGTGCACCATGGTACCCTTAGCTCCATCTCAGCTCAGCAGCTGTGTACTATCCTCTGAAAAAGGGTCATTCAGGGGTTGTTTACTCAGAGTAATTATCAAATCCACATGAAGAAAAGCTTTTTTTTTTTTTCCTTTCATTTCAAGCTGAGCTACATGTATCTGCTGGAACCCTCTGTGATAGAATGAATGACTCAGAGATTTTGCCTCTCCAAATTTCAGGCAAAACATTCTTCTTTCCAAGCCTGAAAAAGGGCTGGAGTTAGTATTGCTTTCCCAATATGCCAAGCTGAAGTATTGTTGAATTCCTCATTTCTTTTTTATTTCTTTTTTTTTTTTTTAAACAACAACAAAAAAACCACCACCCACAGACCCACATATTAAAGAAATTCGTATTCATCATTTGGCTAAGTTTTCCTACAAATTTTCCTGCAGAGTACAGTGCCTGGATTTCTCCAGGGGGATGTGTGCTTCGCTTTTAAAATAGCTTCTTGTGTAATGGTTCTTGACTGACAGTTCTATTAATCTCACAGGTTACAAAAGCTTGGTTTTAGAAATTCTGTTCTGTAAGACAAATTTGGAAATTAAAGCAAGAACAAAGTGTCTTCACATTTACATTTCAGTGTTAAAAAAGTAAATGTCACAATGTAGATCCTTGCATCATATGACAATAAGTTAATGCTTAATTTCTCCCATCACCATCATCTTAATTGCCATATATTACATACAACCCACAAGAGCTTGCTTATCTCTGCACCTGTTCAGGCTGGCTATTCTATCACTTCAGCAAAGATGACCTTTCCTCTCTAACAATGAAAGGCTAAAAGAGCAAGTTCAAAAATCCCATTGCCATGAGCCACAACCTCTGCAGCAAAAAGGAAGAGTTCCTTGTGGCTTTTCTTTCACCCTCACTAATAGCTTTACCCTTCAAGTTGCAAATCCCTTGGCTTCTGCTCCATCACATCACCTAAAGCCTTTCACATTGATTGTGTGTGGCAAGCAAAAAGGTTCTCCTGGATTCTGGCAGAAGGTCTGGGTGTATTACACAACCACACCCTGGAGCCTAACGGAACATGGAGTGACACCAACAGAAACATTCCTTTCAGCCTTGGAGGACAGGAGTAACCAAAGGCCAACATACAAAGATTTTTGGGTTTCGTCCCTGTTGAAGTGGCTGTTGTGACTGACTTTGCAGCTTTTCTGACAGTTGTCCCAACTGCCCCTGCTGCTCTCCCTTCATGAGAACTGTCAGAATTGACAAAAAGTCTTTGTGACTACAGCTGTCAAACTTGCCTGACTGCTTCCAGCCAAGAGCCCCAGACTGCTCCCTGGACTGGCTGCACAGGGGGACTGGCATCACAGGAAGGAGACACAAAATCATACTGTTAACTTGGAGTGGTCAGGTCCATTACCAGGCACCTTCTAAACCCCAAAACTCCTTGCTCTGAAAGGAGCAAGGAATACAGGAATTAGTATTGCTTCCATATTCAGAAAGGCAAAAACCAGGAATTAGCACTGGCAATACTTGCACATGCATTACAGTTTGAGGGTGCGTTTTGAAATGCTACTTGATGTTTGGAGCAGATTATCCTACATGAGGAAACATTCTAAATCTTTGCAACCCATTTGTACTATGGTGAGTGGAAAAAAGGATACTCAACTAGATGATGTCCTATACTCCATTCAAGGTGGTCAGACTTCCCCAATCATTAAAGATTTATGCTTCCTATGGACCACTGTGGGCTAGTTACTAAGAGAAAAAAGCCCTGTCCCGCCACTTTAACTCACATGTAGTCCAAACACTTTTTCATTATTTGGACAAAGGTGGCAGAGCCAACTTTCACAGCCAGTGACAGAGCCAAAGGCAAAAATTGTAACTATAAATAAAATAGAACATGCACAGCTTTTAGTTTATAGCTCTCAAACTAATTTACCAAAAGAAAGATGACAAATGAGATTTTTTAAAAAGGAAACTCAGTTAAGTGACATGCCCAGAGCTGTGTTGTTCACCAGGAGCAGAGAGAAAGAGAAATCAAGACTACCTAATTCAAATACCTTGTTCCTCAGTCACTTGCCAGGCCTTCAGAAGCACAGTACATAGTTTTTAGGGCTATACATGACACTGGATTATGCCCCTGCATTTCTGGCAAGTTGCCTGCAGGACCCTCAGTCTAACAAATCTTGCCTTAATCTGAAGTGACTGCCCATACACAGTCCAGTGAAGCATTTTGCATATGCTCATTAATGGCTTTTGTTTTATTCTGTCTTTCCCACTGAAAATATTTTAAACAACTAACTCTGGATGCCAAAGAGATAATAGGTAATTAGGTAAGAGATAATTGGGGAACTAAATCAGTAAACTGCAAGAAAAAATTGTTTGCATACTAGGTATGCTCCACTAATTAAGTATTTTGCTCTTTATTAACTAAAAGATATTACCAATAAATAATGTGTAACCCAGGGATCTTCCAAAGTGTACACTTCAGGTCTAAGCACAGCAGTAACCAGGATGAGTTTTTGCAAGCTTCTACACCAAAAATCAATGTAATGCTCAAAGTCCTTGCTTCACCATTCTGGCTCCTATAAACACAAGCTCCCCTGGAATTCTCCTTTTGGGATTTTGGGTACCTCCCCAAGAAAAAACATATGGGTGAGCAACATTTTAAAGCCACACCCTGAGCCTCACGTGACTGAATATGGTTGACCGAACTGGCTGAAATCACTGCCAATTTCTTCATACCACAAGCAGTTCAACCAGCAAAAGACAAGATGTTCTTCAACTAAGGACACTGTGATAATGTGTTTCATGAGGAAAGGAGGAAGCAATGAAGAAGGGCATATGTTAGGTGGAAAATGAAAATATTTTAAAGAGCAAGAGGAAGTGAAGACTGAGAAGACAATTTCCAAGGAAGAACAGCCAGCAGAATGAGAGCAGAAACAGAAGCAGATTGAAAATCCTACTGATTCCATATGAAGTGGGGGGAGGAGGAAGGGGGGCAGGGAGAACAAGAAGAAAATTAAAATAATAAGAAAGTTTGAGTTAACCAAAAAAAAAAAACACCCAAAAAAAAAAAGGAGAAACAGAAATAATGTGATTTGCTTATTTTTGCTTTTCCCAGTGATGCAGCTACAGCCATAGAAACTTCCAGTTCATGTGCACTGCAAAAGTGAGGAAATTTGCTGGCCACATTTGAGGTAAAAATGAGTTGCTTGTCTTTCACCCACATGAGGATATTATCATCAGCTGAAGAAATTCCTAATGCATTTTGTGTTCTTCAAGCCATCCATCTCACACACTCCTGTGCAGCAGAGTTGGTTTTGTGGCTTACAAAGCACGGCTGCACTCAGGTGTCAAGAAGCCCAGACAGCATTTTCTGGGCTCCAAGACCTGATGAGTAGTGGAACATCACCATTTAATTCTTCCTACTACAGCCACAAAGGAGAGCAAGCCAGGAGACACCTTAGCCACAGAGATGCCACAAACAGGCATCCCCTCATAGTTAAATAAAAAGGGATATTTTCCATAAAGTAGCACCTCAGAAGTCTGGATAAAGATTTACCAGGCTGAACCTATGTATATTCATAACCCTGCCTTTCAGTAATGCCACCAGAGTTTGTGGACACAGCATACAGCTGAAGTCCTGTAAAAGAATGAAGACCAAAATGTCTTCTAGATAAACTGCTCTAATGTGTGAGTTTACATACAAATGGGCACTACGTGGAAATTCTTTGGGTCTTCAGACTAAGCAAGTTACAGCATCCATGACATTGCTTCCATCAGTTGTTTCTGGACCATTATTCCCAAATTCTAACTTCATTTCTTTTCATGTTGCTTTCAGAAAGGAAATCTCTAAACCCTACCACTGTACCATTAACTGTCGTCCTCTGTGAGATCTGAAAAGCATGAAGGCTGTAGCTCTCTTCATTTGTCTTGTAGGATCAGCTTTTGCTATTCCAGTAAGTCCTCATCATGTTATTATTACTGGGCACTTAATTTCCCGTTCTCCGGATACTCTATGTTATCCCACTGACCTATACAAGATTTTTATTTACATGCAGACACTGACTATATTTATCTATTCTAGACCCATACCTTAAACTACCAGCTTGGAAACCATGGGCAGAAAAATCCAGAAAAGGTACTCTTCTTGTTCTTTAAAGGGAAAACAAACCTGGAAAACGTTCTTTATTGCTCCTACAGTAAACAAGAATTTATCACACCAAGTGATCATATGCAGTCTCAACCATTAAATGCTAGCCACCATGTTTCATTATTCACAATACAGATAATTAGATACAGCTCATCTTGGAAAAGTACACTGTGGCTGACATGACAGATATACAGCCCTGATGGTCATGACACAGGTAACTTCAGCAGCCCTATGCCACATACGCATGCTAATGCCAATTTTGCATTCATGGTTGACCCAAATTAAAAATCCTTCTTATTGCACCATTCTGGTGAGTGTTTGTGGTTCAGATGGCTGTTGGCTCCAGGCCAATGAATGTTTTGGAACAGCTAAATTCAGATCATGCTTTGTAGTAATAAATGCAAAATTCCAACTCGCGTGCTATTTTTTTTCTTTAATTATGAATTATACCCGACTCTGTGTAGCTTTCCAGATGCATTTCTTGTCAATCCAAATGGTGATCTCCATCATGAAAACCAAAAAATTAACTTTTCCTAATGAAGTATCCAGCAGAAAAAATTATGGTATTAACAGTAGTTTGCAGCCTACAGCTATCTCCCAGGAACAACTCATAGAGAAGACACTTGCATCAAAACAAAACATTGCAATATCCAACAAATCATATGTTCCAATGGAATATGCAACATCTATCAAAGGTGGGATGTCCCCCAGCAGTAGCTAATTACAGCTACATGGATTGAAATGTACCACTATATTAAGAGACCCAAGTATCTTCACAGGCAACTGAGTTCTATAAGTTTATTTTATCCTAGAGACAATACTGTAACAAAAAGCAGCTGAAAGCCACATCCAGACACATAACAAGGCTTCCTGTCAGGACATGAGCTACATCTTTCTCAAACTACTGCTTCAATTACAGGCACCCGTAATAGACAGTCTTAATAGCTGATTTGCCTTATATTTTCTAACTTCATAGAACTGGAAGCCCTGGAACAGAAAACTGATTTTTTGCTTAAAGATATATAATATGCTGTACACAGCAGTGCGTAAACACACATGTAAAAAACCCTGTTCTTCAAACTTAATTTTCAAATGTTTTAGTATCAGCTTGAGATGCTTGGTAACGCATAGATGACTTTTTAATAAGGTTTTCAAGAAATATGCATTTAATCTGGAAAAGCTATTCACTGATTTTCTATTAGATCTGAACAAATATATAATCTTTTACTCAAAAAGTTAGAGTTGGAAATAACACAGTTGCCTGGCACTTTTCCTGCATCAACAAGTATACTAGGCAAAAGAAACTTGTAAAACACTCAGATACCACCTTGACCCTGGGATATAGGACATGGCTGATCTGCTAAGAGCCAAATTAATATTTCTAATCCTACCTTTTGTTTTGTATTTGTTAGTGGAGTGTTTGTTTTCAAGCAGTCATGACTGCCCACACTAAAGGAAGTGCTCTTCCAGCAACCTGGGCACTGAGAAGGTCTCATCTTTATAACACACACACACCTCTCCCCAAGCTTTAACGAAAAGCAGCATCAGATGCTATATTGTAGTAAGCAATAAGCAACACTGAACATCCATAGGTGCTGTTCAGAAACACATCAAATGTTGCTGCTATTGGAAGTACCTGTACTCACCCAACAGCTGCTGCGAGGCTAACAGCAGCAGAAAGGCAATTGCTACAGCAAGAGCTAACAGTCATTTTAGTACCTGCTTTCTACTCAAGCATTTGAACCTTTTCCACTGAAGTTTTGCTATTGGTTTGACAGTGACTCCTGCTACTGAGCTTATGATACAGTAGCTGCCACCAAACATAATAGTTCCTGACAACTTCAGCTAGGAAGCAATGGTATATCAGACAGAAAGCAGACGAATACGTTGGTTAAGAAATAGTTAAGATGCAGCACACTCCTTAGAAGTAACTACCACAACACCTTGCAAAGGTGCCCATCTTTTCCCAGACCTCTCCTTTCACTGTGTAGGAAGATGAGTATCACATCAGTCTTCTCTGAGGTAAGTCATAATTACTGCAGTCTACAAGTGCCTGAAGGTATGGCACTAAATTACTAATTAAGTAGTTTCAGATTTCACAAGATACCCATATCCAACTATCTCCTATGAGATCTTAGAGTTGCGTAGACTCTTCAGAAACTCAAGCAATAAAAGAAGGGACAGAAACAAACCTGCTGAGAAATGGAAATTATATCAGCTGTGAATTTCATGCTCTAGGCTAGCTTAAAAGGAACATTTACAAAGAAAACAGTCAGTGCCATGCTTTGCAATACAAGGCAAAATGACTTTATATTGACTTCCAATAAGATTAATCTACTTGTTAATTCTTTATTTAAGACTGAAGATATTCATCCTGACGACCCAAAGGAAGAGAATGCAGGGTATGTAGACAAGGGTGATTTGCTGCTCAGTCACAAAAATCTAAAAGCAGAGGTGTCAGTACCAGACACTGAGGACAGGGACGAGTCCCTGACCTCTAGAAAACAAGGAAGAAATGGAAGTGATCATCAAGTGAAAAACACCCTAAAAAGCATCAATTTCCTTGCACAGCACAATAAACCAGGTTTGGCTGATAGCCAGGACAGTGAGCCTGGAGGCAGTGGCAGAGAACACTTCAGCTCTGAGCATTACCAGTTCAGGAGGCATGAGAAGCACAGCAACACTGCCAACCAACATGTCCTGGGCAATGCAGAAAATCCAGTGGATGCCCTGAGTCTCGATCATGAGCATAACACGTGGAAATATAATAAAAATATGGTTGGCCTATCTGAAAAAAACAGTGACAGTGATGAAGATGTGGAAGATGATGATGAGGAATGGGGTGAAGAAGCTGATTACAGAGATACGAAGCACAAAGGCCACCAGACAAACCAAGGTAGCCAACACAAAAGGCAGCAAAATGAAAACAGTATGCAATCTGATGAAATCGTGAGAGATTCCAGTCAACCAATTCGGATAACCAAGAGACATGGTGAGAAATTTGACCTAGAGGAAGAAGAGAGGGAGAAGAGCCAGAAAAAGCCCTATGAAGAAGAAATTCCCCTCTCTCAAAAAACCCATAACAAAGATCAGGATGACAAACACCAAGGCCAAGAGAGGAAAGACAATATTCAAGTAAACTATCAGAAAGATCACAACACAGTGGTGAAAAGACAAGATACAGAGGACAGTAATGTTGATGATGATGATGGTCATGACAGTGGTGATGTTGATGGTGGGGAAGATCTCAGCAATACCTGGAAAGAAGCAGCTTATGAGGAAGATGAGAGAATCCAGAACAACGACCAGGAGAGCACCAGTACTGAGCATGAAGGGGAAGTAACCACTGAGGAAGACACTGCAGTCCACAGAGAAACCAAGGATTACCAAGATGTCAAGATTGAAGACCTTGTTCACTCTGAACACGATGATAATGACCAGGAGCCACCAAATTCTGACCGTGGACAACACCTGGAAATGAGTAGCTCTGTTCAGAGCATGAATTCAATGGAAAGTGAAGATAAGGTAAATTCTCTTTAAAATAAAGTTTAAACACTACAAAAAGCCAGGGAGGAAGGGATGGGACCCAGTCCCAAATTTCACTTCCTGATGATTGACAGGAGATTTTGGAGAAAAACAGATGTAATTATTTCTTAATATGCAGAAGTCTCATCTCCCCTTTTATTTGCTATTCACCTGGTTCATGCTGTGTCACTTCACATACAACATTTAGATGAATTGTACCAGAAAGGAGGTGAGCATAACCCATGGAAGAGCTCCAGCCCCAACGGGCTGTGAAATGAAACATTTAAATAAATATGGATACACAAACACAAAACTTGGAACCCAGTCTCAAGCCAAGTAGAAAAGCCTGTCCACTCCTCTCTCCCAAAGATTTTAAACACTACCATACAAAAGTGAAAAGCTTGGAAAGGCAAGATGTAGAATAACTACCATCCTAGTGACTAGTGCACTTTCCCACAAGATGAAGGATGTGGGCTTTGTCCTTTCAGACAGAAAAGGATGTTGCATTCAGATATCCCGCACCCTGGTCTATCATTAGACAACCAGTGGACTATCAGGGGTGTTCTTCAAGAGAAAGGAGTGAGTCTTCCTATGGCTGTTAAAGAAAGATCTGCAATGTTTAAAAAAATTATAGAAGGCATTCAATTGAGAGAGGGCAGGCAGCTCCCCAGAGCACAAGACGGTCAGAACTGAAGATGCATCCTTCCCTTCTCCTCCTGCTTCACGAGTCTGGCCTGGCAGCTCATGGTGTTGCTGCTCCCAAGCACTGTAGAGAGGCAGTTCCCGCCCCGGTGCAAGACTTAAAAAACCAGTTCTGCCAGCGTCAAGGTACTACACTGCTGTATGTTGAGTGCTGCAGAATGTCCAGGTTCTCAGGCCTTACTGAGCTCCTCCCTCTTTAACTCCTACTCTTTTTTTTCCAAATAACAGAGCACCTTAATCCTACCAGAGGCTTCTTGCACTTCTCATGCATTTTCCATAGCAACCTGTTTCTGCTGCAAGCAGAGCAAGCAAACCACCTCAGTCCGCTCTATATTTGTGCCTGAAAAAAATCTGTTCAAGTATTTTTTTCTTGCCAAGATTTACTGTAATTTCTGCCTATGTCTCTGTGACTGTGCAGGTCAAGACTACAGGCAGTTCCTATGGTGAGGTGGAAAGTGCAAGCCACGGGAGTGAGGAGGCTCTCCTGGGTAAGCCACAAGCAAAGCCAACATGTAACTGCCTGCTCTCTGCGGCTGGGGAATTTGCTGGTCTGCATTTCTTTTCTGCCTTTGGCAGCACGTGATTTCATATGACTGAACTGTGCTTATGCATAATCCTGCATCACAGTTATGTTCCCAGAGAATCCACTCCATACACCCTTGGATTTACTCATTTGTTTGTGAAAAACATTTGTAGACAGTGCACAGGTTAGCATCAGTTATACAGGAATGGGAATTACCGTGCATTGAAACCATTCTGTTTCAGAACAGTAGCTTGAATTCAGCTAGGGGTGGGACAAGTGTCAGTGCTGGATTCAGTAAGGACAGATGGGATGTGTTTTACTAAAGGAAGCTGGAAGTGCGTGTCAGTCCTTGCAGAAGAAATAGCTTTTTAAGAAATTTATTTCCCCATCCAACTCAAAGCTGGGACTGCCAGAAGTCTCACAAACATCCTCATTTTAAGTTCGTCTTGCTTTATTCAGTACAAGTTCGAGCTGCATTTTAACAGACTTGCAAAAAGCACTTGACTTCTTGGGGAATATTGGGCTGTATTTTGCTTTGACTGTCAGTAGTACCTGACAGAAAAACTTGGCTTCATCCCATCCCCTCCTAACAGTCCCTCCTCACTGTGATCACCAGACCCATGCAGGAACTTCCACTGCAAAAGAGGTAAAGTCTGCCATGCGGACAAACAAGGGAAACCCAGCTGTATTTGCCAAGATCCTGCTGCTTGCCCTTCCACCAAAGACTATGAGCATGTAAGTATTTTATTCAGTGCACAGTGTGGGGGGAAGCCAACTAAAATGTTTACAAAATAACACATTCCACTGCTAGTTTTTAGAATAATTCTACCCTAAAAAGCATGCAAGTGGGTTTGGGCAATTCCCAAAAAAGCTGTAGAAGTATAAAGTACCAAAACTCACTGACTATAGCTTGAGAATAATATGAAAATATGCAGCTATGTAGTACCTAAAGTGATTGACTTCACTTAGTCTCTCAGGGATCACAGCTTTTACCTGTCACTAAAAGTCCCATTTATCCATTTGGTATTTCAGAGCATATACCGAACACTAGTACATATCTAGTGTAAATAATGATTGATTGTAATATGAGTGACCAGAATTTTTCTTAACACAGTGGTGGTGGTGGAGTTGGTTTTGTTTTTCACTCCTCCTCTAGGTTTGCGGTACGGATAATAAGACTTATGATGGCACATGTCAACTCTTTGGCACCAAATGTAGACTTGAAGGGACAAAAATGGGACGCCAGCTGCACCTAGACTATATGGGCTCCTGCAAATGTAAGGTTTGGGTTTTTTATGAAGACTTCATCTACATATAAAGAGCCAGTAGACTTAACCAGCAGCTAGCCCAAAGTTATCTGCTTTCTTCCTGTCCTCTCCCCTCTTCTGCATCAATTATCTGTTAATTAAGACCTTCAAACCCTAAGCATGTGTAAAAAGTCACTTCTATAATTAAGGGTATTGAGCATTTGAATCCTAAAGACATAGCTCCTATGCTTACAGCAATTTGTCATCAACCCTGTCTTCCCTCTGCACTCTTACATGCTCCCATTGCTGTAGTATCTGAAGATGCTTTTTTAATACCTTGACCAGAAATCTAGTATTTAACAGCCAATTATTAAACTAAAATGTCAAATTAAAAAACAAACAAACACCACAAAAAAAAAGAAAAAGCACACCAAAAAACTACTGATACGCCAAATGCAGAAGTCAGGATCTAAAAGCCAGAACTGATTTCCAAGCTCTTCAATTGCTGCATACCCTGGGAGGAAAGTGCACTCTCAGCTATACTATTCCTTGAGCTGAGAGCTCTCTGCTCCATGCAACTGACTGATAACATATATAAAGACTGTGGCTTGCACAACTGGTTAAGCCTGTGCAAAGAATTGTACATTTATAATTGAATCCATTAGCCACATTCCCAATTTTATGTATTAACAGCTCTGTCAATTTTAAGCTTGCTGGAAGTTTGCTAGTGAGAATAAATCTAACTTGGCTCAGAAAAGCTGGAATGGAGACTTAACAGATCACTTGTTAACAAAAGCTTTCCTGTTTGGAACAGACATCCCCCACTGTACTGATTATGAAGTGGATCAGTTCCCCCTCCGGATGCGAGACTGGCTCAAAAACATCCTTATGCAATATTATGAACGTGATCTGGATACCTCTGGATTTCTAACTGAAAAGCAAAGGAGTAAGGTCAGCAATCCTTTTCAAATAAAACCATGCAGTTCCATTGCTAGAGCCAGACTAACCATGGGAAAAAAGGTGATTCACATCTTAACAAGTTTTCCCATTTCCTATCAGCATCCCCTTTCTGGTTAAGGTAATTTAGACTCAATTTGATTCACAATTAGCTCACATGTCTCCTCACACTCATTTAAGCCGAGACATTTCTGCTATGAATGTTCCTTTTGTTCAAGCAAACGCAAGCCAAGCATACTATTTTGAAGTCAGTGTCTACAAGGAAGAGGCAGAAAAGTCAGAATTAGTGCACACCTCGATACACATTGCTTGCTTGAGAAGTAACGAAACAACTTCTGTTCACGGAAATACTCTGTGACAAACCTCTTGGAAAGATCAGCTAATAGATAGATAAGGATGACCCAGTTCACGCAATCAATGCCATTTTCCAAAGGACTTGAGGTAACTAAGCAGCCATAAAATAGAAGGTCTTTGTATGAATAACTAACTAAAAGACAGAATAAAAGGGAACAGCCAGCCAAGAGCTCACGTGTCCCATCCCATGAGTTGGACTTGTGCCATTCAGCTTTCATTAAGTGACCTGGAAGAAGGTGGTAGGGGACAAATTCTATTGACAATGCACACGTATGCAAAGGAAGGACGTGTCATGAAGAAAACTGCTCAAGGACCTCATGAGACTGAGCAACTGGGCAGTCACACAGTATGATTCCAGACAGAATTACAGTAGAGAGTTGAGGGGACCCTTATGGCGGCAGAGGATCCCTGCCGCAGACTGACCAAAAGCAGGTCCTCTTCTGTCCATCTGAGATGCACCTTGTACTGGGCCATCAATTCAGAAGTGCCTGAAACTGGACTCAACAGTTATTGGTATCACCTGCACTTTTCAATCCAGACACATGCACTGTCCCTCTACACCATCATATTCAAGGGCTATATCAAGCCTGATGCTCAGTTTTAACAGAAAAGACCTTCATTCTACCATCCAGTAGACCTGCACCATCACACTACATTGGCTTAAAATGGAGGAAGTATGTTACCATTGGGCTTTTTTTTTTTTTAGGGAAGGATTTATGACAAATGAATTGACAACAGTAATTTGTTTTTGAAGATATAGATGCCATAACCACCTAAAAAGCCATAACTGTTAGAAAAAAATATTTTAAGTTAAACCAAGACCTGGGCTGCTCTAACTCTGGAGTGGGAGCTACATGCAGTAGGACACATCAAGTTTATACAAAATATGCTTGAACACCACCAGAGATGACTTACACAGTTACCATGTTACACTGACCTACCTTGCCTCAGGACAGAACATCAACAGATGTGATAAAACTGGTTTCATCTCTTACCAACCTGTGGCTACTGCCCTGCTTAGCAGAGTCTGATGATTAGGCCATAGGAATTTCACTTTCTTTCTAGTTACTGCCAAAGTTCATACAGACAGCAACAAAAATCACCTGGACTACTTGAGGCAAGTTTTTCATGCTGTGCATGGTCACAAACACTAAAACCCATTTACCTGGTGGTATTTTATTGAGTTTCATTTCTCCAAACCACCTCCTTGCTGGATAGTTCTTTTCAGGACAGATCTTCATCCCTAAACAAAATAATCTCCATTTTTCTGTTGTGTTCAGGTCAAAAAAATCTACCAGAACGACAAGCGCCTCATGGCTGGTGACCACGCAGTTGAGCTGCTCCTGCATGACTTTGAGAAAAATTATCACATGTATGTGTACCCTGTGCACTGGCAGTTTTATCAGCTCGATCAGCACCCTGTTGACAGGTAAAAAAAAAAAATTTGTGTTCCATTCCAATTTGGTGTTTAAGCTCAGGCTGGTTTACTTTTCTAAACCACTCAAATGCTTCCCTACATACAGGCCAGCCCGCCAGCTGATCAGAGCCAGTATCACCCTCCTTCTAAGGAGGCACTCATCTCTAACACAGAACTTCTCTCATTGTTTTGCTGGAGGCATGTGTTGGGTCAGAACATGCTATCCTGTTGCTTTTCATAATCATCCTGTATTATACCCTAAGCTCTACAGCATTTTAATAGCTGCTAATGCCCTGAAGAAAAGGTTCATGCGCTCCTGTTATTACTGAATCTAAGAGCAACAGGCTAAAAGGGCAGAGGCCTGTCAGCAATAATTCCCTAGTGAGGTACCCATAGTTTTCAACTATTACTACATAAGTCTCTCAGTTTAAGGAGCCGATATGGTAATACAGCACTCGTGTCACAGTTCATAGGAAGCCCACAGCTCTTGAGAACATGACTCAGATGTCAGGCTTTTGGTTATGACACTCAGTGGGGGGATCCATGTTTGAAGGCTGCAGGTCCCTCAATACCTCATTCTGACCACACCTACTATCTTAGAACATAGCTGAGCATCTTTGCAAGCTTGGTCTCCTGAGGATTGACAGCAAAACTCCACAACTGATGTGTTGTGAACAAGTCACAGCAATACTTGTTCAAGAAGAAAATGTTAGTGAACAAATCGTGGTTAAAACATTTTAGTTTATCAGGTATTATGTCATCATAGTGACCTGGGACAGATTTACTACAGAAGCACCACAACATAATCCACTGGGGCATCTGTTAAAGCCACTGTAGTCATCTCCAAAGATGATCTAAGCTTTTAGATGATCGTTATGATTTCTAAATGAAACACAGCTCTACATATCTGCCCTCTTTCTTTCAGATTATTAACACACTCTGAGCTCGCGCCTTTGAGAGCCTCCCTTGTTCCCATGGAACATTGCATAACCCGTTTCTTCCAAGAGTGCGATGGAGACCAAGACAAACTCATTGCTTTGAAGGAATGGTGCCACTGCTTTGGGATTAAGGAAGGTAAACCTAAAAGAACAGGTAGATGTATAGGACAGAATGTTCCTATCAAGACCAGGCACATTCTCGAACCACAACATATGGGAAAGAAATTGTAGCCAGAAGTTCATGGCTACTGCACAGAGACAAATGGAACAGTAACAAGACTTGAAAAGGTGCAAGGTTCTGAATTGCTTTATAAAGATAGGAAAAAGTAATCTTTTCCATGAGGCAAAATTTGGGAGGTAGTTTGTACTAAATACCAAATCATTCCTGTGTGGTGTCTGAACCTACATGTTCTGCATGCCTGTCAAGAAACACTATTTTATCCTTTGATGTCAAAGGAAAGGTAAAGCAAGCTTGTACTTTTAAAACAGTGGTCAAAGCATATTGATTGAAAACGCATTTAAAGATCTCAAGACAAGCAGGGAAAACATATCTCTCATTGATCAAGTAATTATGCTCACCTCTAGATTACTATATGCAACATAAATGTCATCACACTTCACTTGTGGGCCCAACCATCCATTTTACCTTATCTGTCAGATGCAACACATGCTCAGATGGTGCTGTGGTGGGTGACCCTGGCTGGAGGCCATTTCCTCAGCTGAACAGGGGAGGGAAAAATAGAAGGAAAGGCACATGGGTCAAGACAAGGACAGGGAGAGATCATTTACCCATTCCTGTCACAGCCAAAACAGACTTGACTTGAGGAAATTAGTTTAATTTATTACCAATCTAATCAGAGTACGATAAAGAGAAATAAACCCAAATCTTAAAAACAACGCCTTCCCCCCCAACCCCTCCCTTCTTTCCAGGTTCAGCTTAGCTCCCCATTTCTCTCCATCTATCTCCCAGCAGCACAGGGGGACAGAGAATGGGGGTTATTGTCAGTTCATCACTTGCTGTCTCTGCTGCTCCTTCCTCCTCAGAGGAGGACTCCTCACGCTCTGCCCCTGCTCCAGCGTGGGCTCCCTCCCATGGGGTGCAGTCTCTCAGATGCAGCCTGCTCCAGCCTGGGTCCCCCACAGGGTCACAGGCTCCTTTGGGTATCCCCTTGCTGTGGTGTGGGGCCCTCCCCGGGCTGCAGGTGGGTCTCTGCTCCCCCATCACCCTTCATAGGCTGCAGGGCACAGCTGGCCTCACCATGATCTTCACCACAGGCTGCTGGGGAATCTGCTCTGGCACCTGGAGCACCTCCTTCTCCACTGACCTGGGGGTCTGCAGCTGTTTCTCACATTCTCACTCCTCTTTGGCTTCAGTTTCACAGGGTTTTTTTCTCCCCTCTCCTCGCCTTCCACCAGGAGCACAGCACTGCCCCCACATTGCTCCCCCCCAGCTCTCCTGGCCAGAAGCCGGTGGGGGGGGAAAGTAGCCAGAGCCGGCAGCCAGCAATTCTTAGGCTTCGGGTTAGGCTCCAGCTCCGGAGAACCATCAAACCCACCGCTCCCGGGATAATTGGGATTCCCAGAGGCCCTACCACCATCACTGATGGGCTCAGCCTTGGCCAGCAGCGGGTCCACCTTGGAGCTGGCTGGCACTGGTTCTGTTGGACATGGGGGAAGCTTCTGGCACCTTCTCACTGAAGCCACCACTGCAGCCCCCCTGCTACCAAAAACTTGCTCACACCAACCCAGTACAGGTGTCCACCAGACTGCATGCATCAGGACACCTAGGCAGAGGTGATTTCTGAATCCTAAATGGGCTAGACGTGTTTGGTTCAGCTCAATCCACATCCAGACTTCCCTAGGAAGGACAAAGGCTAGGTACTACTGTGCCAGTGATGTCTCTACAATTAGGCAGCAGCTGAACAGAAGCATCATGATAGCAATTTGAGATTTACATGACTACACTCAACCTAAGGTATTCTTTCACAATCTACCTTCTTCTGATCTAGCCCTGAGTGACAGCTGAACAATGCTGCCACCCATTAAGCAAGGGTAGCAGTAGCACAGGTTAATCCTAGAACAGGTAGGTAGCAAGAAGGCGTTTCACTAAACATGCAGACTGAAGAAATGTGTTCAAAACCCTACCAGTAACTCCCTAATTTTAAGAGGAGGCTGATTCTAGTCAGAGGTCAGACATGCAGAGCCTTCACTCTTCCCAGAATTTTTCCAGCTCTTTTGATGGCAATTTACCAGTCACAAACCACATGTGGAAGTAAGCTGGAGTTATCATAATACACATGTACTACTGCCAGTGACAGCTCATCCAAAGAGGTGTCATCATTTGTGAAGAGGAGGGTAGAAAGGATTCTTGGTTCAAACACCAATTAAGGAGACCCAACACTAGAAACAAGAAAGCACCTATCAAAGGCTAAATTAATGGATCCAGAATGTGGTAGCAGCAGCCATACTTGGTTTTTTGTAGTTCCCCTACATGAGCCCTCTGAGACTTTAGCGTATCACTTCCTTGATAGTGATAAAGCATAAAAATGTCTCTTTCAAACATTAATAACATTTTCTTCTTTGTTGCAGAAGACATAAATGAAAATCTCCTGTTCTGAGCCTGGCTGAACAGAATCTCAGTGCTGTACTAAAACTGGTGAAATGTGAATCCCGCTTATTTCTATAATTAACAGCTTCATAGTTTTCAAGACAAAGGTGACATAAGGTTTACTGCATTCTTGCCAAGTAACACAAGTGCAGAAAAGTTCCACATTAACAGAAAAATTTAACCACTCCAAGTGGTTCATAGCTAAGCCAGTGTTTTTCCCTGTATGTATCCATGATCTCTCTGAACTACTAACTAGTACTAACCTGATGACTAAGCTGTCAGTAGAATTATAGGATGTGGATTTTACCAAACACTGAAGAAAATTACTTTGAAATAGGACTTGTTTATTTACCATACTGTCAGTTTAACATTCTGCATAGGAGCCTCAAATAAAATAAAAGTCCTAGATATATGGGTTTTGTCAGAACTTTGTCAAATAAAAGGTATTAAGGCAACGGTACAATGGAAATTTCATTTTTGATTTAAGGAGAAGAAACTAGTCTGTAGAACATATACACCAGTCCTTAAACAGTAATTCCTAAAATACCAGAAAAAAACCAAATGCTTTTCAGACCCTTCTTCCCCCATCTCCTGAAACACAGCAGTAACAGCACCAATGCCACAAAACAGAATTCCTGTTGACACACTATGCAATGAGCTAATTGTATGAGTATGGTGAGTGTGGGTGAGTGTCAAAAGACTGATTAGCAACAGGTCCACCATCACAGGAAGCAGAGGATATCACAGCTCCAACACCTCCTTATTCTCTTCAGCAGGCACACATTATTCCTTCCCCCCACAGAACTACCACTACCATTAATCCTGAGACAGAAATGCTATTTCTTTCACCTCCTCCCAACTTTTGCTTGTCTGAAGACAGGAACAATTTAGACATAAAAAACAGGACAGAGATTATTCCTGAATTCCATTAACTTTGTGATTTTAAGCCAAGCACTTCACTGAAAAGACTCCAGGCATGCTCTGCTGTAAGCAAGAATGCACACATACGCACGTCAGAGTACACTCACAAACGCACCCAGTGCTCACACTTAAACCATGGCACCATCTTATCCACTGCGTGCAGAACTAAAATTACCTGACCTACTGACATTCCTCCCGTTTCAGCTAAAACAGCAGGTCAGTGTTAAGTGAGAAGAAAAGCAGATGGGGATGGATGTTTTCAGGCTGGTCCATTAAGGGATATCAAAGTCCAGGATGCAGCCATAACTTCCAACCCTAATGGAAGACTGACAACATGTGGGATATTCCAGGAGAAACATCAACCTGCGCTTCCTCTCTCCTCATATTCTAAGTCAAAGCACACCCTGCTACAGACATAAAACCCAACCAGGCAATCCTTCCCTCTGATCCAGGACAACCACTGCTAAGTCCTCTGCAAATCAAGTCTGTCCTCAGGACCTAGAGCTGTATGTGTCAGGACAAGCGTTCTCATCAGCTACATGCACTAATCATCATGGCGATGAATTCAACAGAAATGGCCTGCTCTCATCCATTTAGGTCTCACCTGCTAGGGGGCAGGATACTCAGTTCTGAAGGAAAGCTTGAGATCCTCTTCCATTAAATGTGGCTTCTTTGAGTCACCGCGAGGAGAGCTTTCAAGACAACACACTTAAAAACCAGAAAAATGTTTAGCTGTATTTTGGTAGTTTAGGCTTAAGAACAGACAGAATGTCACCAATCCACGAATGAGCAACCATCTCCATCCAGTTTCCACCAAGTGGCACCAAACAGCAGCTAACTCACACAACCTTGCCTCCAAAATCTAGTGAAATTGCTCGTTAAGCAGGCTCCCTCTGTGCAGAGGTGCAAGGATCTGATCCAATGTTAACCAACAGAAGTACACAGCTGCCAACGGCAAGCTGGCTTCTCTTTTCACTGATTTGGCATCTGAACCTCCTTTTCAAAGGGGATTTATCTCCTTGTCAGTGCTGTACTGATACCAGATGTGTTGGCATAAAGTTTAATTTTCAGTCCTCCTGCACAGCCACACTGAAGACTCCAAAAAAAAAATAGAGGTAAATGCTTCCCCTCCCCCCCCAAAAAAGGCCAACATTCTTAGGCTATACACTCCAGATAGGATGTTCTTCCTCTTGATAGGCTTGCATGTACCCTGAAGGAAAAGAGCCAATTAGCATTTCAGTACATTTCCCAGATATATCTGAAGTGGAGAGGGGGGAAGTGTTGTTGGTTGGTGGTGTTAGTTTTGGTTATTTTTCCCCCACTCCCACAGTCACTGTTAACAGCTATTTTCATTGAGGAGAATCTTTCCAACTAGTCAACAAATAACTGCACAAACACACCAATGTAAAAAAAAAATCCTATAAAAAGCATGTTTTCTTCTTTTTGCTCTTTCATCCCTGTGCTTTATGACCAGTATCTACTCTACTGCTTCCACAAGAGGCAAATAGGCTGCCTTGTATCAAATTTAACAGTTCACTTTGCATCCTTTTAAGTTCCAAGTGCATGTGTGACCCAACAAGTAGGTATTATGCTTTACGCCCTCAGACACGTCCCCAGAAAAGAGCAGAGATGAGCTGTTATGTCAGTGGTCTCAAACGGATCCAACATAATGCTAAGTCCTTCTGAATTGCATCCTACAATATTTTCCCCAGATACATAAATTAATGTATTAAACTTCTTATTTACTAATTCAGACTTTTCTACTAAAATAATCATTAAACAGAAAGACCAAGACAACATTGTAATTGAGAACTTAGAGACATGTCTTTCAATAGCTTTTTGATTAATCTGCATATACTCAGATGTCAGAAAGCACGGCTCTCAAACTACAAGTACGCAGCCAGCATACAGCTGGCCTCAAAAGGTAGCAGTGACTTTAATTCACAAATTCCCATTTCTTCAGGGAAAAGGTCACTTCTGAATTTGTGACACTCCCTCTCAGTTAGTACTTTAGGCATTATCACCCAAGTATTCTCCCAGCATGACTGAAGTGCAGAACACCATAGTCAGAATATCTATATTGAAAAAAATACGTAACAAATATTCCTTTGATAACACACTTACTTCCATTGCCAAACCTGTCAATCCTCCAAGGATTAGTAGGGGTCATTAAAAAAAACCCTGGCTTCTTTATCAGCTGAGAATTAAACTAAACATCCAAAAGGTCTTGATGACGCATGACATCTTGTGGTTTTCTGATGTCAGCCATAGTACTCCAAACTGCATATATAGACACCGGCCGTTCACCAACACTATCACGGAGGCCAGCCACCTTCATCTGATCCACTGACCAGCTCTCCAGCATGCCGTCCAAAGATAATACCTATGCTTTAATAGTACCTACATGACATTTCATAACTGCTGTTTGATTTTTCCTTTCTCTCTACATGGAGAAGAGCTATACTCCCCTCAGGTCTTTTCTTCTGCCAAAACCAGGATATTAACTCATTGTTTTTAATCTGCTCCACAGGTCTCTCTCATTGCTGATTTCTTGTGTTCTGAGCATGGTTCTTGCTGCTGCGAACGCGGTAAGTACTGAAAAAGAAACTAAACAGGCATCCAGTATGGGAAACATTAACATTGTAAACTTAAATCAAATGCTTTCAAACTAGCACAGCAGCCTTTTAATAATACTCACCTTCGGTACAGGACTAAACTTCAGTTATTACCATTCCAGGTTATCAACTTATTATTGAGCCCCATCTTAAACTCTAAAAAAACCCATAAGCACTAATAACAAGCTCATATCCAGCCGAACAACAGGGCCAGTATTTTCTCCATTAGCTATTTCAGCTGGTAGTATTGCAAAGATTAACAAGTTCCCTTTGCAGAACTTACTTTGCTTTCTAGCAGGGAAAGAAAAAAAAAATCAAAACTGAAATGAAGCTGTTTGGTTATATATACCTTACTCTAAGAGAAAACTCATTCTTTTTCTACAGCACAGCAGTAGCGAAAGCTCCGGTTCAGACAGTCTTGAGAAAGTAAGTCTTTTCTTTGTAAATAAACAGAATCTCACTAGTTCTAACATTTGTATTTAACTGGGAGTTTTGGCACTGAACAGGAAAATACTGACACAAGATTATTTTTTCCCCCCCCCCACAGCATCTCCATCATAGGATTAAGCCCGTATTTCATCTCCTACCTGGTCCAGCAGGCCACAGGCTTCGTCTGTGGGCTCATCGATTTCGCATCTGAGGTAATGGAACTGCCTGGTAGTACAGTGGGACATAAGACTGCAGGAAGCCCTAGCTGGCCAGGGAGCATTCCATCCAGGATATTAGGAGCACAGCTTCTGAATGACAAACTACCATAGGAGGGAGCTGGGGAGGGACTGCAATTTATCCTTGAAGCTCAAGTAGTGTAATCCACTTTGCTTTCTAATTAGCAGACATGCATTCTATAGGGTAACTGGGTTTTCTTCATACACAAACCCCTATTTCTTCAGCTTGACAAGAGGTTACAAACTTTCTCAAAATTCTGCTGCTGTTCCTTAGATTTTCTTTGAGTATTTGTCTGGATATCCCAGTCCTTGGGGATAGAAGATACCTCGGATACTTAAAAAAAGTAGTTTAGAGACAAAGTTAAGAGACAAGACATAGGGCTGAAAAATAACACTTTCAGCACATCTGACCTGCATTAATATACAAGCTAACATCACCCACATAAAGCTGACCATTTTCCAGAAGATTTACCAAACAAAAAGAAATGCCACTACATTTGCTTGCTTACACTGGCTTTAATAACAGTGTGGGTGTTTATCTCATTGAGTACGATACTTTCAGAATTGAAATTTTCTCCTGTTCTAATCTTCGCACTGTATGTTACATTAAATGTTTCATATGTAAACAGTAACATTAAAGAAAAAATCATGCTATTTTGACATGTCACTGTATAGCCACGTTTATTCTCAGCCATGATGAGCTGCACATTCACCTCCCATGAACTTAAGGTCTGCTGTTGTGGTCATGCTTTCACAACCCGACTACACTGCTAGGGGCCTGCTCTACATAATGTATTAATTGCACATTC